GTCACTGCACCCGTTTACCAAGAAATTTTGGAGCACTTCATGCTTCCTTCTGCTGACCAGCTTTTTGAAGATGCTGATTTCATTTTCCAGCAGGATTTGGCACCTGCCCACACTGCCAAAAGCACCAAAAGTTGGTTAAATGACCATGGTGTTGGTGTGCTTGACTGGCCAGCAAACTCACCAGACCTGAACCCCATAGAGAATCTATGGGGTATTGTCAAGAGGAAAATGAGAAACGAGACCAAAAAATGCAGATGAGCTGAAGGCCACTGTCAAAGAAACCTGGGCTTCCATACCACCTCAGCAGTGCCACAAACTGATCACCTCCATGCCACGCCGAATTGAGGCAGTAATTAAAGCAAAAGGAGCCCCTACCAAGTATTGAGTACATGTACAGTAAATGAACATACTTTCCAGAAGGCCAACAATTCACTAAAAATGTTTTTTTTTAATGGTCTTATGAAGTATTCTAATTTGTTGAGATAGTGAATTGGTGGGTTTTTGTTAAATGTGAGCCAAAATCATCACAATTAAAAGAACCAAAGACTTAAACTACTTCAGTCTGTGTGCATTGAATTTATTTAATACACGAGTTTCACAATTTGAGTTGAATTACTGAAATAAATGAACTTTTCCATGACATTCTAATTTATTGAGATGCACCTGTATACAACATTTTACTCCTAAAAACATGTTGAAAATGTGTCTGCTTTCTGTCTGTTGACAGTATTTTCTGATTTATGGAGTGATGAAGAGAGAAATCCAGAATCCCCTCTGGAAAAACCTTTAATATGACAACAAAATCAGAAGAATTTTGAACCGGGCTTCATCCAGTTCACTTGCATATTTGAACATAAGATTTCAGAAATACCAAACATGTTTGCAGTTGTTCACGTCATAGATCAGCTGGGGAAGTACGGTGAGATCTTTACTCATGCCCTGAGCAGTCCAGCGGTTAGACCAGAGTTTGTCTGCTATACAGATAACAGATGTTGCGCGAGGTGTTTCTGTTCTGACAGAAGTGTGTGTTGTGTCGTGGAGTGCTGTAGATGAGACACTCTTCAACTCTGCCAAACAGTTGTGTGTGTGTGTGTGTGTTTCCATACGACCTGAGGGGAATAAAAGCATTTGAGTGAGCAATGGCCTTCGGGGGTTGCACCGAATTAAATGCTTTTTTTCCCAATCCCCACCTCACTCAAGAAGCGTTCACTCGTTCGTTTTTTCAGCCTTTATTTTCTCTCTCTTCTTTCTTTCCCCTTCTTGCTTTGAGTTGACCTTTGACATCCGAGCGTGCCCCGGGATGTCTGTCACAAACTGCAGTCCAACCTTGTGACAATGCTTGCTTTCTTCCCGTGCCTTTTTATGACCTTCTTCTTTTTTCATTTCTTTCTTTTGTTTCTGTTCTTTCCTTCAAGGTCTGGCGCACCTGACGTTAAACAGCCAAGGTATGGTTCATTCGGTTTTCCATTCTTTTATTTAGTGAATCAGATCTGTCCGTCTCTCTCCCTCCAAACACTGTCCCATCTCCCCATCGTACTGTGTTGCTGTATTTCCACACTGTGTGTCCTGAAGACTGACCTCTGACCTCCCGGACACAGGTAACGCTCTTCTGCTCTCGATGCTGGGGTTGAAATGCTGCTGTCTAATGTCACTGACAGATGAAGGGTGTGTTTGTGTTCAGAATGCACAGAGTCTCATTCTGTGGTCATTCTCATTGTTTGGCAATCACTCACGCTGTTAATTACGTTCAGGTAGCCTCAGATCTGCTCTATGCCAGTATGACCCTCAGCACTGAATGAATCAATGTTTGTTTTAATGGTTTTTCTGATGCAATGTGTCTGTTTTTTGACTTGACCAGCTCTCAGTACTGCTTTTTGTCTGTTTAACTAAAATCATCATTCTCTCATTATTTACTCACCTCATGTCAAACCTGTGTGACTTTCCTCCGCAAAACAAAAGATAGTTTAAGAAGTGTTGTAGTGTTTTTGTCAATACAGTGAAAGTCAATGGGGTCCAAAGTTGTTTGGCTCCCAACGTTTTTGAAAACGTCTTTGTTTCTGAAAGTCACACAGGTCTGAACGACATGAGGCAGAGTGCATGATGACAAAATCCTTTCAGATGCTGTTTGATGACTGCTCTTCATGAGGACTAGTTAGGGCTCCATAATGTTGGTGATTGCAGATGTCTCTATCATGTGTGTGAAGTTGTGCTCTCATGTGCACACAGATAGTCCAGTTCTTCTGTGGATGCTGTGTTGAGTTGTGTCTGTTCATCCGTCACACTGTTAAACCTGCTTTCATTGGTTTTAAGCTCTAAGGTATTCGTTATTTAACTAATCTCACACTGGTGACTGTGTGTTTCCCTCAGTTGTGTCTTTTGTGTTGGTCCGTGTGTATAAAGCAGTAGAAGTGCTCTCCGTGTTCAGCTCTTTTTTGACTGGACTAGTTTTCCCTGGAGATTCATTTGTTTCACAGACATCTCTCAAAGAAATCAGAAATAAAATCTCCAGTTTTTCTCCTCTGGGAAATCTAATCCGGATAGGAATGTCTGTGACTGCCGTGTATTTATTAATTTTTGTACAGTCATTCAGCAATAGTTTTGACGCATGTAACTAAAGCTATGTTTGTTGTTACGTGGTTAGCTGCACTTTAATGATTGATTTAGAGCTGATGTCTGGTGCTGCTGGCGTCCCATCCAACCCAAAACAGAAAAGACACAAACGGACCACAGTAATCCTCCCTTCCTGTCATTATTATACTGTATTTTCCAGAATATGTCACGTTTTTATTGTTTGAAACATGCTGAAACTTACACTAAGCAAATAAAAAGCACACAAAACATGCTATAAATAAAATACATAAAATACATATTTATAAAACCTTTTGTTTTATTTACCAACATTATTTCTGAATGTAATAGCATAAAGTGATTTATTCGCAGATGTGACTTATTAGCACACTGTGACTTATTGTCACATGCAACTTATTTAGCAGAAAAATACATCACAGATCCTCTTTGTTAATAAAGTCCCTCAGACGTCCTTTAGGAAACGAGCCCGTCGCGATGCAGCTCTCGCTCTCGTGTTCGAGCCGTGCGTCTCCAGATTAGGCGTCTGGAGGAATAGTAACGTGTGCATTAGTCCTGTTACCCGTGTCTGCCCTCTGCCTGTCCCATTTGAGGAGAGGATTGTTATTCTGGTCAGCGCTGACCTACTGTATTCACACCGACACCAGCGGCTCACGCAGACCGTCCTGAACGCACCCAGACGACTAACGCGTGTTCGGAGGGTCCCTCTTCACATAATCTGCTCTTAAGACAGTCATTCATATTCATGACATCAGTTGGTCCTCATGAAGGCAGCATCTGTGAGCTGTGATGTGTTTGCAGTCAGACGCATTAAACACGAGCACCGCGCATCTCCAGACATCCTGAGAGACGCTTCACACCGTCTCTGACCATCCACACCACACATCAATAGTGTGTGTGTGAGTGTGTGAGTGAGTGCACACACTTATGCACACTCACACACGCACGCACACACTCTCACACACACACACACACGCACGCACACACTCTCTCACACACACACACACACACACACACACACACACACACATCAGTCTCTGCATCCTCACACAAGCGTAACACACTGTGTTAAATCATATTTCTCTTTCAGTGAAGAATTTGGGCTGAGATCACTAAATATTGATATAGCTCATGGAAATATTATTATAGATATTAAAGCAGGATTTCCAAAATGAGGTTGAGTTGTTGAAAATGTAATAATTAATTGAAATGTAACCATTAAACAAATGGAGCATATCAAATCATGATTATCCAATCAAAGGCTGTGATTTAATCACTAAATTAATACGCTGGTCTTATTGGTCGCTTTTAAGAGGATGTTAACAGACTTGGAGGCAGTCACATCTGGCTGTAGATGTTCTGCCTGATGTGTTATTGATTGTGGTTTATTTTAAAGGATTCGTCCTCCGTGAGACTCGAGACCGGTGAGTGGTGCAGGTGTCGCTCATTATCAATTACTCCACCGGCCTCACTCCGTTCCCACAGCTCTCGGCCCCGCCCCCACTCATCACAGTCGTATTCCCTTAAAGGAATCTATTCCTGATTCCAAGCCTTGAGCTCTACCCCGGGCCCAGGAGTCTGGCCCTAACAGGTAAGTATTTTGGGGTATGTAGCCTAGGCCTTTGGCCGTAGGGAATAACGTCACTGACAGCCGTCTAACGTCCCAGGGGCAACTCCCATAGCAATATGGTAGAGTTGGTACTTAGTGCTCGCCATGGTTCTGGCATGCACTCCCCTCAGCATGGTGGCGTGGGTATACCGTTCCCCATAGCGACCCCTAGAGGACGCAGTTCGAAGTTCCCATGAAAGGGAACGTCTCAGGTTACTTATGTAACCATGGTTCCCTGAGTAGGGAACGAGACACTGCGTCCTCTAGGTTTCTTGCCATGCTGCGGACGCAAGCTTCAGACGAAGAAGTGAATGATGTGTGCTCCCAGCACCTATTTATACTATAGTCGCACCGGTAGTGACGTCACGGCTGTCGCCGGCCAACGAGTTGGGGTTTTTTCAATGTATGCTTCAGACACGGGTCACGACGAGGCGTTCCCCATAGCGACCCCTAGAGGACGCAGTGTCTCATTCCCTACTGAGGGAACCATGGTTACATAAGTAACCTGAGACGTTCTTCCTGGTTAAATAAAGGTAAATAAAAAAAAATAAAAATAAGTATACAGTCTGTTGTGCTATATGACAAAGTAATCACATATATGATTAATAAAAAAATGAAAATCACAATAAAATACAAAAAAAAAAAAGTTTGTACTGATGTGTGTATACATGCATAATATATTAATTTCTATCTGACTGGCTGATAACAGAGTGATAACAGAACTCCTCCAACCGCTTCACCGTTTGTATCACTCCGCTTGCAGTATTTCTCACAGCGAGTGTTATGGCGGACGCCCAAATCCACTATAATGTTATAAATAATACTGTTTTTGTGTCACAGAAAGTAGTTTTAAGAGTTTTTTTAGGCGAGAATGTACCTGTTTAGACTTCAAATATGCGTGTTGTTAATAAAGATAACGTCTATTTGAACATTAGCTTCAATGTTTTGGGAGATGTGAGCTTCAGGGCGTCAGCGGCCGTTCATCGCTCATGAACCCGCCGAGAGCAGCCTCACCCGCAGCCAGATCTTCTGGAAATCACCGCTGGCTCTGATGTCTCTATAGTGGTTAAACATGAGCTATAATTTGTTTTGGGTAAATCTAACAAGCAGTCTTTGCTCTCATTAATCTATTATTGGTTCCAGAGCAAATAGTATTGGGTGAGGGCAAAATCTCATAGCTCTATAACTTAATGCTGTATATCAGAGTGCAGCAACTTTTATGATGGCTGTTGTTGTTGTTTATTAAATATAATTATTCAATAAATAATATTTTATATACATAGTAGTATTTAGTATTGGGAAATGGTGTGTGTGTGTTCGTGATGGTGATTTTAGTGACATTATTCCTCCATTAGATGGCGACAAGAGACTGTTTTTCTGAGTGAGTCCGCAGTAAAGACTTTTATATTGAAAGAGACTGAAACAGGGTTCTAAACAAGGGAGTTCTTTTTACTTTCAACAACAGCTTGTAAGACGCAGTTAACAAATACAGTGAGCAGCACTGTCATCAGAAATCACCCTCAACAGATGAAAGATAGTACGACAAAGATATCGCTTTCCTCAGCGGACATTAATACTAATGTTTTATTGTGAATATGAGATTGAGCTGAAGAATGAATGCGGTATCAGATGCAGGTAATCACACTCTCTGTCCATCTCTCTCTCATCATACTCCACATAATACAGTGAGCTTTCAATGAAGCGACTCAACGTTCCTTCGTTACTAAAGTTCTAAAGTGACGTTCTCGAATTAGTAACAGATCTTGAGCTCAGATGTTACACTGACAAACTGAGATCTGAATCTATGGCAGAAGGAAGTAGTTCTGCACAAAAGAGGGTTTTTAAAGACACTCCATTATTGTTTCTTATATGTTTACACACTCGTGCCGTCGAACTGTTGTTTAATGCAACATCACACTCGTAGCCGTGAGATATGGCTGTATATCAGCACAGATATGATTCCCTAATGGGAGCGTTATGGAGTGGTACCTTGTGCCAATTAATTAGATCTCATCTAACAATTTTTCTAGTCAACTAGTCACACGTTTATATAAAATTAATATAATGGCCTACTAAACCATACTTTAATATATAGGCCTAGGCATAATTCAGCCTATTCCACGCTTAAGCTCGCGCATAAAGCATCCTGCAAAGCACCGGCAAAAGATTATGAATGTGTCGGGGAAAAAGAAGAAGTTTTAATGATGTATTAGTAAACTGCTTTTTGAGTCATATCAGTGTCGGCTGCAA